TTTTTTTTTTTTTTTTTTTTTTTTTTTTTTCCTTTTTTTTTCTAGTTTTTTCTTTTTTCCCTTGAGGTAAAAGTTTCAGTGTTTGGAAACCTGCACCCTGCACGACACAGAAGTATAGTGTTCCCTCCCAGGAGCTTGTTGCCGATAAAATGATAGGAAAAAAAAAAAGAATTTGACACCCCTCCCCAATTCCCCAAGTGGCTTAGCCTGGGCTGAAGCTGTAACGCCCCCATTATAAAACCCAGTCTAAGGCCCCTGATTTGGAGAAGGTATTTAAGCATATGTCTGATTTTGAGCACGAGTTGTATTGTTCACTGCTATAGTCATGTATGGGCTGCTACTGTTGCTTATAAATTTTGCAACGGGAACCTGGGTTTTGGTGAAATTACCGTTTGCAAGGAGTCCACTGCCTTTCCTTGAAAAGGATTTTTCTTTTTTTCTGGTAAAAAACAAACAAACAAACAAAAAACATCATATAGACCCATCGAAAAATATTTCCTTCCCTACCACCATAGGACAACACATGGGACTTTTCAAGGCAGAAAAAACATTCCAACCAAATCAGCTGCTCAAGTGTTCAAAAGCTCTGCACATGCTTAAATGCCTTCCTGATTTGATGCCTAAGCCTCTATATCCCACCCCAACAAAAAAAAATACATTTTAACAATCCACAGTACATGAGGTTTTTTTTTCCATGTAAAAAGATGATAGCGTCTGACATTTTCATCACACTGTAGACTTGGAGATTAAGAATACTAGTGCTAATAACAAATACACCAACTAGTTCAAAAGCTAACATCTTTCAGATACAGTACCATTTTACAGAGATTTCTCTTTTTAAAAAAAATGTGTTTTTTTTCCTTGTGACGTAGTGAGCCAGGCTGGGGTACATTAAAAGAGAACTTTGCCAAACAGAACAAACTAAAATCAACCCCAAAAAATTAAAATAAAATAAAAAGCAACAACAAAAGAAACCTGTATACTACACCTTGCTGATTTCTCAATGGACCTCACGTTAGGAGTTCAAAGTTGTAGTCACTTCCAAGTGACTGTTCTCAGTTAAAAAATATTTAGAGACTTTAGGCCGAGTGACCTACTCGTCATAAAGTCTAGTGTCACATGCACGCGTGCGTAAAAGGATCTTTGATCTATTAAAAAGCAAGGGGTGCGGCGGGCAGAGGGAGAGGGGAAGGGAAGATATTTTATAACGCCGGATTTAAAGAAAAAAAATTAAAAAAGAAAGAGAAAAAAACCTGACCACCATGGTACAAGAGCAGTATGTTAACCAGAGAAGGGAACACTGCAGAGTATTGGTGTGGGCCGTGTCCATGTGTTTTGTTTTTAAGTGTCCGTCGTTCACTCCGAATCGCTGCTGTCTGAACTGGAGCCGCTCGAGCTGCTGGTTCCGGATTCTGATGAGCTGCTGCTGCTGAGACGGGAAGGGCCTCCGGAGGGAGCAGAGCCCGATTTTTCTAGTGGGAAAAAGGCTGGACATCAGGACCAGGAAAGCATTCTTCATCTCACACCCTCCCCTCTGCCCCCGCATCTTTAGGGCTGTGCAGTCCTTGTGACCTCTTGGTAAACTGGGACAAGGGCCAACACCTCAGAAGAGGTGGCAGTGGGTCTTAAGAGGAGGCTGTGCAGCCAGTCATTGGAAATGATCAACAGCACCGCTGCTTCCCCCCACCAAGGCGAGGCAAGCTGGATTGTCAGCTTGGTTTGGCCTGGATGGTCCGAGCACCCGTCAACCTCGCTTAGCCCCAAAGTGGGTGATGCTGATCGAGTGGGCCTCAGTCTAGACAACCTCTAACATTCAGATGCCTGCTCTCCTTCGAAGTATTGATGCCCAAGTAATTTGTCACATGGAGCGTGCTAGGAAATACTCAGGTGGAGATTTCCCACCCCCAGGGACAAGGATCCAGCACTCCCTTGAGAAGTCAGCACAGGAAGACAAATGAGGCGTGCCGGGATGGTGTGTTTCCATCACCAACATACGTTTGTGATATTGGAAATATCACAGGTTCTTTCCTCAGCCCAGATGCAATATCAAACATTGGAGAGAATCAAAAACTACCCAGAGGTCTTCCCTACATTAGTGGGCTGCAGAAGTTTAATTAAACTTGGGCATGTCTACACGTTCATTAATGCACTTTTGCTAATGTGCATTAAATTTAGTTCCTCCATTGTGAGGTACTAAATTTTAGCCTATTTTAATGCACATTAGTGAAAGTGCACTTTTCTGTGACACTTTAATGCACATTAAAGCCCACATGCAGACGCGGCCAGTAATTGTAATAAAAGCATCTGCATAATTTTTTTCACTGCCCTAGCCAAACCACTTTGCAACCATGTCCTAATTTATGGAGATACACTTCTCATATGGACAGCCCCAAGGTTAATAAAGCATAGGACTTTTACAGAGCATAGGGGGCGTGGCGTCTCTCTTTTTTTTTAAATACATTTTCCAGTCTGAAAGTTATCGCCACAAAACCACTGATTTTCTGTCCCTATGCAACTGTACACATGCATGCAGACATTCAGCATTAGTAAAGGATTTGTTGCTGGGGGGGGGGGGGGGGGGGGGG